GCTTCCCAGCCTGTGACCTAAATTATGAGCAGAAGATATTAAGCCTGGATTTTAACTTAAGAGCTGACTACACCCACAGGACGAATTAAAACACAGTGTTGTTTTTCCACTGAAGGTAAGCAAGCAGTGAAATTATACTGGATTCTTTATTTAAACTGCTGCCAGAAGTATGAAGTTGTGAGCCATAGCCTTTCCTAAGTCTGCTCCTTCTCCTCCAAGCCCCCACAATGGTTAGACACAGCATAGTCACAGAATCATACAGGCTGGAAAAAATGACTCAGATCCCCAACCCCAGCCCACCCCCACCATGCCCACTGCCCACAGTGCCACATCTCCATGGCTCTGGAACACCTCCAGGGATGGTGACCCCCCCACTGCCTGGGCAGCTCTGCCACTGCATCACCATAGCCCTGGTTTGGCTTGTTGGCTTGTGACGTGAGAAAATGCCATCTCACCTAAATTCCTTACTTCTCTCTGCCTGCTATCAAAACTGTTGTTCCCCAAACTAGCATTTGCCATCTCTTTTAAAAGTAGCTGGAATTCCTTCACCATAAATTCTGTTGGATTTTGTGTGTGCTGGCATGAATATTGGAGTGCCCAACCACTTATCTGTGCTGGGTTTGCAGCTACCTAGCTGCCACCACTTCTGTAAGTATTAAATACCTTTTTTCTTGAAATCCTTTAAAAAAAAAATCCAAATTTGCAAATGAGATTCTAAATAGATATTCTCAGTCTTTAAATAACCCCGTCTCCTTCCATTATAGGTTTCTCTGGGCCAGGTCTTTCAGCTACTCATGCTATACTAGTGCATTTAAACCTTCTGTCCTTCGGTGGAAAGTGAGATGCTTAAACCACAATCCCCCTTGGCTCTTTTGGGGAAAATTTGGTTCATGTTGCACAATGAGGTGCTTCATATTGGGTGCATTTGATGCTGTGAAATTTCAGCTAATACCACAAAAGAGTTAACTGATTTTTTGCAGGTTCCAATCTCAGTTCATCCCGTGTCAGGATTTTCTCCCCATAGACAAGGTCATAATCTCATATCTGAAGGCAAATCTATAAAATGCATTTTAGTGATCCCATGGAGTCGTTTCCCAGGCAACTTACCATCTCCATCTGCAGCGGGCTGTGGGCTTTGCCTGGCCTTGTGCTGGGGAGTCTGCCACCAGCCAGTGCCCCTGGCCAGGCCCTGTGCAGGGCAAAAACACAGAATGGTTTGGGTTGGTTTGGGAAGTTTCCCCTTGAAGCTAACTTTATTGTGGGCCTGATATCCTCCAGTATGGATGCTTGGGTTGGAAAGATGCACAGTGTGGTTGCAGGGCTCTCACATCACACCAAATGGGTGATAGCTTCTGGGAACACCATGCGATGTGCACCCCAACTTGGTGAGGATGGGTGATCCAGGAGCTGCCCCTGTCCAAGGAGAAATGCTGGCAGTGCGAAATGCTGGCAGTGCAAGAGATGAGGATTCCTCCTTTCCAAAGTCAGAAACGTGAGAATCAGGGCTATAACCATAGTAAATGCATTTTCCTTTTGTGCTGCCTTCATTCTTGCAGAATGGGACTGACCTCAAAAGGATTTTGGAGAGCATGAAGCGTGCATGAACAGCGTGCACTCTTCTTCGAAACCCACCTCAATCCCTGTCAGTGGGTCTATGGGAGAGGTTGTAGGTCAGAAAATAGCCCTGGGAAATTCAAAGCTATCAGGCTCTGTGTTTCCCATCTCTGACTTTTGGAACAGAAATAGCCAGATTGTGCCTTGTGAGATCTGCAGGGATTGTAAAGCAGTTCGGTGTGGCTTAAGATCACGGTGTGTAATTTTGTTAAAAACTCACACTTTGAGATGTGCACCAAGTAGGCACAGTTGTGCTGAACTGTGAATCATTCCAGATAAGGGAAATCTTTGGGTTGCACTCCTGGTTACATCTTTGATGTGCAGTTATCAGTATCCAAGCTAGGCTGGTGTGCCCGCAGTATAGATGTGCCCTAAGGCCAAGAGCTTCAACTTTCAAAGAACATGTGTTGAGAGCCTCTGCCCTTATATCAGAACCTTGCAAAGAGCTGAATCACGGCATTTTTAGCTCCTGTCCTGTTGGCTTAGATGATACTGATCTTACAAAATTTGGCAATGCAGAGAACTGTAGGGTTATTTGAGTTTCAAAGGATCTTTTACGTGTATTGAAGTCCTGCCGTTCCTGCCGTTACGGGAGCTGTGTGAGCTTCTCTTTCTTTGTCACCTGTTTTTAATTTGTTGTACAAGTGTGGAGAACCTCAGTTCTCTTGAAGTGATGGAGAAGGGCAGGTCTGGGCTGGGCTCTGGAGCCCAGTGCTGGATCCCTATGCTGATAGAAGTATCACCTCATCCCCTGACATTGCCCTTCTTCCATAAACCCTGCTGAGATGGCATCTCAGCTGTCCTGTCACACTCATGTTATTGTCCAGTGTTCAGGACCAGGTGAGTAATGCCCATGGTGCTACCATGAAGCGTTAGCTCAGCTGTGCTCCTTCCTGTCTTGTAGTTGAGTCCTTAAGCTGCCCTTTGCAGCTCTAAAAAAGCCCTCTGCTCTTAAAAAGAAGCTTTAAGCCCCTTTGAAAGTTTCACCCCACGTATCTTCACTCTTCATGGTTAGGACTCACTCAGTCTTTACTGAAAGTGCAGTATTGAAGTCTGTCAGAGAATTTTTTCCGTGTACTTGTGTGATGGGAATTGGGCTTAAAAGCATGAACTAAAACTACACAAATGAAAGAACTGGCTGTCAGCAGGCAGACTCTTTGGAAGGAAGAAAGTCATTGGGATTTTCTGTGGACTACCTGGTTGCTTCTGAGAGTCAACACAGCATCACGCTGCATTGACAGTCCTGTTAATGCAGTGTGTCTCCCACACTTTTGCTGTAGGGAGTATCTGGAGAATATCCCATGTCTTATCCTCAGAGAGTAATCCTGATCCTCATCATTTATGGCCTTTCCTATTTTCTGGAGAGCAAGGTTGTGTCTCCTCTCCAATTACTGGATTTTGTGTTTGCTCTTGATTAACAATTAGCAGTTGATTACTTCTAAAGTTAGCAGCCCTAGTGGGAGGAACACATGCAAGACAAATTTGAAGACCCTGATGTCTTCAAATTAAAAGGAGAGGGGATTATAGGCTGAATAAAGGAGGCTGATGCAACTTTTCGAAGAGTTGTATCATGGGCTGAGACAGCCATCTGCAACAAGTTTTGAACAAGAAAACTGAAATATCTTCTGCTTTTTGGCTTGTGATATTTTCAGATGAAGTCATTGATAAGAAGGAGAGAACTCAAGGGAAAATCGTGCTTGTTGGTGGCTTATGTCCTGACAAAAAGCATGTCAGTGTGGGCACCAGCTGCATGACAGCAGCACCAACTCTGCCCTACCTGAGAACATTTATAGGCAATGATTGTCACCAAGCGTTGCTGCACAGAGCAAGCAGTGAAGCTCCATCCCTTCATCCATGGAGTCAGAGGCACTTGGCATTTGGGGAGCTTCTGTCCCAAGCTTCTGTCTCTCACTGCCCTTCCAAAGCAGCATGGTAGTTGGGTTTTATTTTCTTGCCCAGAAATCTGAAAGCACCAGTATGGTCTCAATGAAAGCTGGGCTTTGTATTCTGTTTAGTAAGTCATGATGGAGAAGACCGTGTCAAAAGGCTTTTGCAGAAAAGGACAGTTCCTCAAAAGAGGCTGTAACATACGTGTTTATTTAAGTGGCACAGACAAGTAGAAGGAGAATAGTGGTGAGTTAGAGGAGCATAAAGAACAGATGGGAAACGCTCTGAGTTTTGAAGAAAAGGTGTTCCTCACGTCCTGCTGCTGTTCCAGATGTTGCCACTCACTCCCTAATGGTGTTTCAGGTCCCGTGTTGCAGCTTTGCCTTGCTGCCCTTCTCACAAATGCCAAGAGCTGATCTGTAGAGTGGCTGAGATTTCCCCATCGCCAATATTGCCTGAGCAGAAGGAAAAGAGCCACTCCTGCATTTTGGTCTTGAGATTTTCTCATAATTGTGTGCCAATATGGAGGTAAATGCCATACTTTCCCAACGAAAGGAGGACCAGGACTGTTTGTAGAGGAAATGAGAGCTGACAGATGTTTCACATCCAGCTGACCTGCTGCCATGCTGAAGGTCACTCCAGAGTAAAATCTGCCCAGGTGTGGGCCATTCAGCCCCTCCTGTCCTGGTGAGCATTTTGGCATCCTCTGGGTCTCTCACTGGAAGACAACAAATATAGACCTGCAGGTTTGTGCCCTGCTTTTTGTTTCCTAGCCACAATTGTTTCACTGGGTTAGCTCTGACCAGCTTTTGCTGTACATCACCCATTTCCATTCCTAAGTGACATACTGCTTATTTGAAAACATCTCAAGGACTTAGAGAAGAGAAAAAATGATTTTACAGAGCAGTTCTTTATGGACTGAAGTATGCACATTTGCTTGAGCCAAAACACACTTTTGATGTCTTAGATTAATACAAAATTTTTTTGTATTAATTATATATTATATAATATGTATATATTACATATATGTTATATTTGTATTAATATAATATAATTATATATTATATATTTATATAATATAATATATAATATATAATATATAATATATAATATATAATATGATTTTATTAATTATTAATATATTGTCAAGTTTTTCTTGTCTTTCTCAGCCTTACCAGCTGAAGAACTCTGAGACAGAATGCAATAAAATATATAAAAATTATGGCCCTTAAAGCTGCCTATTTCTCTTTCTTCAGTACTATTTATACTATTTACAGTCTCTTTTCTTGTTTCCTTTAAAGTTTGATCTCTTTAAAGTTTGATCCCTTCTTTTTAAATCACATCAGAATTTCCTACTTCCTTTTCTCACCGCTGCCAGAAAACATTGCCTTTTCCTGGTCTTTCTGGGCCCATTTTTCATTCTTGCTTCCACTTGAACAACTATTCATACCTTCTTAGATCATTGAGATCTTTGTTGCATCCAAGCAGAAATGGGGCTTCAGCTTTGACAGGTGTCTTTTTAGCTCAGCACTGACATCTTTTCTTAGGCTGCAACTTCCTGCAGGATCTATTTGAGAAGTTTCCGAACGCATAAATTACGTCGGCACACACAAAGAAGAACAACAGAAATGTTAATTACTGCCACTTTCCAATTGCTGAGTCTCTCCTTAATGGGTTGAGCAAGTTTTGTCTGGTGTGCTTTTTTCTTTTCTTTCTTCCTCTTTTTTTTCTTTTTCTCCAGATAAATTATCAAACGACTTCAACATTTGGCGATGGTGCGCTCGGAATAATGAGAGCTTGTTTTTCACGTTGTTGCTCTTCATGCAGATCCTTTTTCTGAAGGCACGCTAAGGGAGCTGACAAAAAACGCAATATGATTTATAAGCCCAAAATACTTTCTGCCATGCTTAAAGATGTTTTTGCCAAAAGCGCTGTTCTTGTCATATCCCATAAAAAGCATGAAGGTGGTGGTGTGGGGAGATGGGATGGGGACGTTTGTGGATCGCCCGCAAGGTGCCGTGTGCTGCCATCCATGGGTGGTGACGTTTGGCGCAGGTTTCGCATCGCTGCACAATTTGATGGCATCTCAGATCTGCCCCGTGCTGGGAAATGGGACCGTCAGTGCCGGGTAAGGAAACTCGTGCTGTCTCTGCCCACATCATCTCCGTGTACTTCAACCGGGAAAAGGAATATAAATATAGAGATGATGATTTAGACTTCAAAATGCTGACGATGGTGACGGTGACGCAGCTGAGAGTTCCTGTCTGAGGTAGGATTGAAAATGTGACTTCAAAGCTAATTCCTACTTCTGGCACAGGAGATGAGGCAGCAGCTCCATCCCTTTAGCTGTGACAGTGACACGGCTGGCCATGATGGCACAGAAGTTCTCTGAAGTTGTGCAGCCACCTGGACCTGCGGTGCCCATCGCTGCTTGCCCGTAAATCCTCCACCAGTCTGGATGTGGCTCTGGGCAGCCCGGTCTGGTGGTTGGCAACCCTGCCCATGGCAGGAGGGGGGTTGAAACTAGATGATCTTTGAGGTCCTTTTCAACCCAGGCCATTCTGTGATTCTGTGATCTCTTCATGTAGTTCACCACCCCATGCTCTCTGCACACCTCCTCGCTGGTGAGCATCTGGTCACACAAAGCCCGCAGATCAAAACTCTTTTGAGGAGTGGGAGACTGTAAAGCCTTTTTGATTTTTCTCCTCAGATCAAATGTGCATGTCAGAAGGTGCACTGCTTACCTGCTGCTAACATGGGCTTGGTCACAGTAGAATTGCATGGACAATAACGTTTTAAAGAGGAGCCGTGAATCTTTTAAGCAGGGGTTGCAGTGCCGTGGCTCAACATGGAGCCTCTTCCTCTGCAGTTTGCTCTAGCAGAGATGGGGACTTGCCTCCCAGGCCTTACCCCACAAAGTGTCAGCATGGGACGTGCTGCTGCTGGGACACAACCAGATTTAAAGGGGTTAGAAACACAGCAGGTAGCTGCCCAGATTATCCTAGTGTGACCTGTGGCAACCTTCTTTGCCTCCATAGACAAAATCTGCTCCAAGATACAGGCAATGGCTTCACTTGCATCCCCACAAGGGACACAGCACAAGGTGTGAGCCCAGCAATAACCAACGAAGGAACAAAACCTGCTTTCTGTACTCTGTTTTTCCTCCATCTTTGTGCCTTGCTGCGTTTTTCTGTTATCACAGAGTCAGAAATATATTTGCAGTCTGTGAGTACCATTCATTTCCATTTTGCACTTTGCTATGATCTCAAAGCAAACCACCCTGGCTCTTCAACTTTTTGATGCTCTGGAAAGCCAGGGAAGCTTTGAGCTTGGAGCACAATTTCCCAGCTGCATTCCTCAAACAAGGCCATACCATGGTTTGTCTGTGGCCATCCTAGAGGGGAATGAGAAGCTTTGGCACCTTGCCCTGGTTCAGACTACTAACCCAATCTAGTTTTACAATGTTCAGGGTTGTATTAATGGGCCGGGTACGCTTTCACTTTTATTATTTTGATCCCATAGCAGAGGCGTGAAGTGCCAGCTTAAACGCTTCAGATTTATTATTGTGATGGAGGAGAGAAATATCAGCTTCTTATAGGCCTACTAATCTCATTAATTATATAAGCTTGATGGCTTTACCTGGAAGCTTTGCACTGTGTTTCATGAGTTTTTTGGAGAGAAGCAGAAGGAGAACAACTAGATGCAATACACTATCCTGTTAATAGGTCAACAGATGATTGTTGTTGGCCTTGCAGGAAGTAGAAGCTATTGCTGCTAATTTACTCTCACAAAATGCAAATTTTAAGGATGATGAAAATGTATCACGTTTCTTAATGATTCATATGACCTATGATATCTATTGGTGAACCTTACCTGGGGACAAGGCTTCAGGCTGGGTGCTTTGCAGACGAAGTGGAAGATGGAAATGTCAATTGCCACTTGTTCTGTTAAACCTGATTCATCGAAACCTGAAGTGGGACTATCTTGAATGTTTCTGAATTTCCACATATGCTTTATGCATGCAAATCACAGCTGTAGTGCATTACACTGCACCCAGAATACCTGGAAAAAAAATAAACTCAAAGTTAGGTGCAAGCGTGAGACGTTTTTAGTGGAAATCCCAAACTTTACTTCCCTTTTCCCTATGAGAGAGTCAGATACTAAGGGCAGGAGTCGGTGTCTGGTGAACTTCCCTGGCTTTTAGGTAGAACTGGAAGCAGAAAACAGTGTAAGGAATTTTGCTAAAAGAGTTTCTTCTTGTGAGCATTTATCATGTGGGCACAAATAAATAAATACATGCTTACAAATCCTCAGGTTAACCATAGATTTCTTCCTCCTTCTCAGCTCAGATGTGATTGATTTGTTTTGCGAAGGAGATTTGCTGCCCTGTGAGCATCTTTCCCACCCTGCATGTGGAACACCCCTAATGAGCATATTTGATTGCTGTTTGTTTTGGTTTTTTTTCTCCTTCCTTCAGCAGCTCACACAAGAACAGCCTTCCTCCACTGTCTGAAATCTCAGTAACCTGTAGCTGTGCCCCAGGAACCACAACGCAGCCTCCTTGGGAGCCCCTGGGAGCTGCTGGATTGCCCCACTTGGTTGTCCTTTTGTTACCTCCTCCTGCTGAAGGAGCCTATGGGCCTCATGTCCCAAGCTTGTCAGGTAGAAATGTGACCAAACCCACTGTTTTATAGATATGTGATAAAGGTGGGCATACAGGGTACAAACTCAATAATGCACCAAAGGTTACCCAGCGATACCTGAGGTACAGCTCCACAGCGAACCTAGAAATCCTAAACTTTAATCACAAGCTATTCTTGTTCCTCCTTTTCATGACAGTGTTGTGAGAAGGCTAATTTTGTATTAAAATTGAGTTAGATCGATGCAGATACAATGGAAGTGGATGCTACATTTTGCTCTAACGGCATCCAACGCGGAGAGCTTTTCTTTGCAGCAGGAACGTGGGCTAATCCGCTTATCGGTTGGAGTTGGAGGTCCTGTACGAGTTGCACTGAATGTTCAGTTCAAATGAAAGGATTTTCCTGGCGGATAAGAGAACACATACTGAATGTGCAAATAGACAAATGTTCTCCAGATGGTTTTTACAAATGGTTTGCTTACTATGGTGTTTAAATCAAGCTAACTTCATCTTGTGTCTCTGTAGTTCTGTTGGTCAGGAAGAGTCTTTAGGACTACATTGAAGTACTTTTGAGCAATGGTAAGCACTTTGTTAAAAAGTAAGAATTAGGGGATTATATCAAGCACTGGTATGATCAGTACTGCTATGTACAGTGATCATGAAAATGAAGTGCAACACAACCTTCGATCCAATTATGGTTTTTCCTACAAGAAGTGTCAGAGGCTCTTAAATGTTTCTTCCAGCTTTATCTGTAGCCTTTATTACTTTGTACTTCCTAGAATTAAATGCAATTACATCAGGAAACTGAATGTTCGAGGTAAAGTTGCCCTAAGTTACATAAGCTTCAGCCTCCCCAGAGGCTCTTGCAGAGTTCCCATCTGGAGCCCTTGTACATTGATTTTTCAGTGTATACACCAAAAGGAATGCAGCACTGGAGGCCGCTGAGTCACTGGCTTGTACCTCTGTACCACTGCATGAATGTCAAAAAAAGATTTCTGGTGTTTTCATTTGAAGGGAAAAGAAAATAATTTCATTTTTTTCAGCGTTGCCTCAGTGGCGTGGTTTAACATTCAGGGAACTTGCAGAGCCCATACTGTTTTAACAGCACTCTGTAGAACTGAACCAACAAATGCTGCACTACTCTTAATTTTGTAGCAGTGAAAAACAATGCTCTTACACAATAAATAATGTTTTGATGTAAGTCAGTGGAATTATTAATCCTACAGAAGACTTTATTGGATAAACTTGACATAAACTTGACATCTGTCTGAATACAAGAGAAGAAAATAGTGTCCTAAGAACTTCAGTAGTAACATTTAAGATCTGCTAAAATGAAAAATTAAAAGCTAAGCATGTAGAAAAAGGAAAAGAGAGCTACGTATTTTGTCATGCATTGTGCTAGGCATTGTATCTTCTTTGATTATAACAAGTTTCTTTGAAGAATATTTCTACTTAAAATACACTTCTACTTATTTTCCCTGGCAGACAGGCTTTAAAGATCTAAATACGATGTACTGGAGGAGGTAAAAATTCTTGAAGTGTATTTTTGAAATCTTTAGACCTTTGACCACATTTGCTATGATGACACAGACTTAACAGTAAACCCACTTGAAAGACATTTCCATGGAACACTTTAAACGGAATCAGTTGGTACTTTCATAATGGCAGCTGAATGTGCGTTCTTGCCATTTTCCCATTTAACAAGAAGAAAAGGCCAAACAAGAACCAATTAGTCACAATAAAATCAGCTTTGATGACATTTTCACTCCTGAACTCTGGTATAAAATGGTCATCTAAGAAAGAACTGAAAGGATATGTGAGGAATTTGGTGGTATAACTGCATGTACATACATACACACTCCTGAGCAAGAAATGATCAGGTAAAGATGCAGCCATTTAATTGCTATTTGGAGAAGATATACTGTTTTTGTGTTTAAACAGATGCGTAGAGCCTTGCTTGATTTTTGTTCCACGTTTTAACTGGTTGTAATTTGTCTTTGAAGTCTATGCAGGTTAAACCTTCTTTACATCCTTTGGATCTCAGCAGTGTTTGTGTGCTCGGCTTACCCAGTTGGCCCTTCCATGGTAAGTCATGCTCCCTGGTTACTGGAAGATCAGATGTTCCATTTATTTTATGTATCTGTTGGTGGTGGTGGTTGGTTTGATTTTTTAATTAAATGAAAGGAACTTCTATTGAGGCTACTGAGTAAACATTATCTAATAATATCTGGATAATATTGTCTGGAATGGAGCTTGTTTTTGCTTTAGCTACACATAAAATCTGCAAGCCTGTAAGATTGCCGTGTAAGAAATCTGCTGCATGTTGGATGTTGAGTGTGAAGAACTTTTGCCAGTGTTGAAATATCATACGGATAAGAGGGAATCATCAGTCTCCCCCCATTTCATTTCAGTTCCTCGTTGACGTCCAGTAGGTAGAATAACAGATGTGTGTTTATTTCATTTGTTGAAATTATAAATTATAAACCAGTAAGTTTGTTAGTCACTGCTATTAATATGTGCAGGTAAAGGAGAAATACCAAGTTGGGAAAATTATTCTGTAGAATCAGTAACACCCCCTCGGTATCATGGACTGTTTAACTTTCTTAAACGGTGAAATCAAATTGAGTTTGCTATTTAAAGAACACTGCTAATAATCCTTCTGTTCTCAACCAAGGCAGTATGAGAGGCTGTTGCTCAAACAGGATATACACCATTTCAGTCAGGCTTTCCAATGTGGAATGAGAAGTTTTATTTCAAGTGACATCCAGTATTCCTGCCTTGGACAAAGACTTGTTTTTCCAGTGCTGTGAAATAGCTCTTGAAGTCACAGCTCTGATTTCTGGGTTCCCTGCACCGTGCTGTGCATCACTGCCTTTTCATTAAGGAGATCTGTCTCTGGTAGAACACTGGCTACTCTTACAGTGGGTTATTTTATTGTTAGACTTTATCTATCTATCTCCTGCTTCCTCTGTATGTTTTACTTGTGTAAATGCTGCATCACCTCTCATTTCTGATCATGCAACCACCTCCCAAACAAGAACGCAGCACTGAGAGGCTTAAAGGGATGGCACAGAGAGCACAGATTTTTGGCAGCTCAACAAGTGTGTAAATCATGGCGCGATGAAAGATGCTCACAGCCTCTAGAGACATGCCAAGAAATATTTCCGTTTAATTTCAATGTTAATTTAAATCTGGTTTGAGTTTGTTTAAGTTCTTGTGCTGTTTGCATTTTATGATGTGCAGTGCAGTAAAAGGAACTTGTACTTAAACCTATGTGGATCTTAATCCAGGCTTTTTACACTTCCTATTACCACGTTGTCATTATTAAATGTAACTACCACCATAACTGGTCGTAACTGCTAGAAAGCTTCCTCTCTCAGACTTCTGCTTTACAGCTATTTTCATTTTCCTTTCTCTGTCGTTGAAGCTGAGTGACTTCACACGAGAGGTAACAAGATGCTGTTACGTTGCTAACTGAAAAAAAATCTCATTTTAGGCCAAAAAGTATGCATGATACTCTAGGGAAACCACGCTGCATGTCGCAACAGGTCAGCATCACAGGAAACAATTCATTTCATAAGCATCATTTGAGCAGTATCAGTATTTTAAACCTGAGATACATCAGTTACGTGCTCTGTAAAGCTATGAAAAAAAAATCTGATTTTGAGTACAACAAATCCTTAGCAAATAGCAGTTCATACTTGTCATTCTAAGCATAAATTGTTTTTGTGTTTCTGCTTTGCTTTTCATACCGAACAAACCCTGTCAACCGCACAAATCCATAATTTTACCTTCCCTTATCTCTTTCTTTTTTTCTCTCTTCAGAGCAGCAATCCTTTTTATTTGAATTGCCAGCTGTATGGAAAATCTGATTACTGCCTGGTGCTGCTGAATAGCTGCTTAGCCAAGGTGGGCAGGAGCGAAGAGCTGGCTCTCCTAAAGCCTCCCTTCCTGGAGATGCCTTTCAACAAACGGTCCTTCCGCAATGGTGTGGGATCAGGAATTAAAAAAACTTCCTTTCGAAGAGCAAAGTCCTAAACAAATGTTCCAAGCCGTACCCTCGGTTTTAGCATCCCATGCCCAACTTTGTGCTTAAAATCACCTTAATGCTTTTTTCTGCCAAAACCATCAGACACAAATGTACCCGTGTCTTCATCTTGTAAGCAGATGTTTATTTCAAAGAGCACAAGCCAAGTGGAGCAGATGGGAGCACTCAGAATGGGCTTTGTTTTTGGAGTTACAGTATCATAAAGTTTTGTATGGAAATGAATGTTTTCATTTGGTTAATTCCCCTTCTTTGTAAAGCTACAGACTCAATCAGCTGGCTCCTGATTAGCACAAAGGCAGCCGTCCTGTCCCAACCCCTCTTGTTGCTGCCAGCTGCTGTGGCAGCGTTCGCACAGATCCCCAGGGTGTTCAATTTCTCATTTCTGAAAGGTGTGAAGGGCCACGGCTGAAACAGAGCCTGGTCCTGCTTGCAGCTTCTGCTTTCTTTGTAATGTTGTTATTTAACATAACTTTTCTGGGAAATAATGTCTTTGGGTGTGTGATCTCATTTCCAGAGGAGTCCTTGGAAGTCATGTTGAGGCAGGGTACCAGCAGCTCCCATTGCCTCAACCAATTGACTTGTGTAGCGAACACACGCCTGATGAATTGTGTTTCTGCTCATGACTGCAGGTGTGGCACAGTAACTAGCAATGCTCTTAATTCTCTCTAAAGAATTTCATAAAAGATTCGCTTGGTCTGAAAATATGTAAGCATTTTGTGTAGGAATGGTCATCTGCTGTGTGAGGTTTCCCTCGTGGCTGTCTCCTCCAAATGCAATGTTCCAGGCTGTAACTTTGCTTTGAAAACACTGAAAGTTATCTGTGCAGTGCATTTTGAACTGAAATTTGAAATAATAATAAATAAGTACGTGGACCCTTTCTAGTATTTCCTTATTAAATATCAGGTTGCTGTTCCATCAGAATAAGGCTGGGTGGCACATCAGCCACTGCCAGCAGCTCCACTCCTCCATTTTGCAGCACGAGCCTGTGGAGCAAAGAGACCTGAGCATGGAGCAGTGCAAGTGTTGCTTAATTGTATAATCAGAGAATCACAGAATGTCTGGGTTGGAAGAGACCTTTGAGTTCACTGAGCCCTGCACCCTGCTGTGTTCTGGGTGCCCCCCCAGCTCAGGCTGCCCAGGGCCCAGCCACCCATGGCCACGGACACATCCAGAGATGGGCACCCACAGCTTTGGGCAGCAGTGCCAGAGCCTCGTTGCCCTTTGAGTAAAGGAATTCTTCCTCACATCTGACCTGCATTTCCCCTCTTCTAATTTAAAACCGCTCCTCTCTGCCCATATCTGTACTGAAGTAGTGAAGCATCACACATTTACAACCTGCTTAAGCACTTTGACACTTTTTGCCCTTTCCCATGCTGGCTGCTGTGATTTCAGAGGCTGCAAATGCCCTGCTGGTGTGAACTCCTGACTCCAAGCTCTCACAAGTTCTCCTGGGAAGCAGTATGGCAATGCCTTTGGCAGCGTGAACATGAAAGCAAGGTGGGTATCCAGTCTATGACAAGTAGGTGCCAAGAGGAGAGGTGCTTCCTTGCCCAGAACTACTTCAGGGCCTTTTAATTAAGGAAAAGAAGTTACTGGAGTGGAATTATTCCCTTGTGCAGATGTTAGGAGTGTGCTCCACATCTGTGCGTGCCTGCATTCAGCAGCACGGTCCTGCTGCAGTGCAGACACCAGGGGCTCTGGCCCTGCAGCTCCCAACACCACCTGCCTTCTATTTCTAGGGGAAAGAAAATAATAATAAAAAATCCCAGATTTAGCTTTCTGTTGGGCTCTCACATCCGTTATAATAAACTTTGTTTCTACATAATGAAGTATGTTCCTGCCTTGGTAATGTGTGATAAACTTGGTTGTCTGTGATCCTCCACAGCCACACATGCAGCTCTGAAAACCAACTTACTTTTCATTGTTTGTGCAGGTCTGCAACCAACCTCTGTCGCGTTTGGTGATTGCCTTTGAGCAGAGGGTGCTCAAAAACGTGGATTCTCCTGCTGCCCTGTAGCAGCAGTTCTGCTCTCAGTGGTCTACTCTCACCTCACCCAGCACTGGTGCTGCCTTCAGCACGAAGTGCTAAACTCCCGTCTGAACTTTAAAGGTGGTTTGATGTGGTAAGAAACAAGAGAGACCTCAGTGATCTCTGTCATTACTCTGAAAAGGCATTTTGCTGACATTTTTTTTACTTTTTTCTTTGCTAAACTAAGAGAAAGCACAGAGCAGACCAGAGGGCAGGCAGAATGATGCTATGTTTAGGACTGAGTACCAGGCTGAGGAGCTGGAATGCTTCATTCCATCACAGGCATTGATAGCTGGGACCTCAGGTGAGCCTCTTCATTTCTCTTCCAGCTCTCCAGCTGAAACATAGCATTGCTAACTAGTCAGAGGGAGTTTTACCCTGCTTTGTTCTAATATTTGGAGGCTTGGACTTAAGTGTGAACTAATGGGAGACTTGAACAATTAGATCACCTGGTGTAATAACGTCTAAATTCCTTGCTCTAATTGCAAAGCTACTATGCGCAATGTTCATATTTTCAGTGTGCATCCTGCAAGTGGGGAGAAGAGGGGCATGGGCACCTCGAGGGCTGGCACAGGGCTGCTCTGTACCCAGCCTGGGTCTTGCTAATGAACTAAGCTGGTGTTTGGAGCAGCGGGGATGGCCATGGGTCAGACAGGCAGCCGTGCACATTGGCCACTGCTCCTCTGCCTCCTACAGGTGGTCCATGCCTTTGAACAAGGTGGCCAATGCTCTCCACTGGGTGAAAATGAAAGGGGTAGATCCAATAAAATCTGAAGGTGTAAAATCTATCTGAAGACTGAAGGAGGAATTAACATTTATTCTTCTTCACAGATTATTGGCAAGAAAGGCATTTAGATTAACTGATGTAATAGCACCTAATTTCCTTGCGAGATTGAAAATTAGATGTTGTAATGACATACCAATACTTGGCTTTCTGATTACCAAGCGTATATTAAAGTACATATATCCCATTTAGATTTCCTAATTTGCTATTATTTGCCTGTAGATGATAACTTATTGCCTTAAAATACTGGAAAGAAGAACTGTCTTGATACTTTAGGCCTGGATATAGTTTTGACCTTAACAAAGAACGAGACGGATATGAGAGAGTATATTAGATGTTGTTATTACTGTAATAAAATGCAGATAAAAATCATAGTGCAGAAAGACTGTAAGACAACTATTAAGCATTTGTCATATAAAGAAAATAAAAACTTAACTTATCAGATATTCTGACACTTTAAAGATTTATCATGAAAAAATACTTCCAACAGCAGAGTGTTTATGCAATATGTCATTGATGAGCTGTCTGCTTAAGTGTTTAAAGAGTTTGGAGAAAGATGAGAAAAACGTCAAAGATGGGCTTTTCATTAGTTTGACAGATGATCTCACTGTATTTAAATTTATATTTAGGAGTAAAACAGTACATTTTTAACAGGACGAGGTGGGCTCTTTGTTCTGTCCTGACCTGGTGGTTGGTGATCCCAGTCAAACCAAAGCTTGTTGACTGATGAAATGGCAGAGCTATACATCAGGCTATTCACTTTGCTGTTTGGCTTCATAAGATGCTTAGAGTCAGGGGGAATTTTTCTGCCGTGTGGTGATTGAAAGACTTTTTTTTTTTCTAATACCCTACTGGATTTGAAGTCATTGAGTTGATTAAGCTTAAAATTAAACATATCTTAAAAGCCTGATCGACTGAGACCCAGCTTCTGAACGTCTTCAGCATGAACCTTCCAGAGGACATAAAAGGGCTCGATGAGATAAGAAATGAGCTATCGAGTGCTGCTCTTGAGACTTCATCCTCAACTCCTTGAAGTCAACAGAAAGCTACTGAGAGTCTTCAGTGGGCTTTGGATCAGACGTTCGGTGTGTTAACGGTAAGAGTATTTGCGTTCACCCAGTGAGTCTCTATGGCAACACCTCACAGGAGCTGCGTGCTCTAATAGAGTTTTCTTCTCATTGATTTTGGTGGCTTGTGCTTCCTGTCTGCCTTTTAGCCCACCATATCTCAATCTGGGGACCACGGCATGGCCAGCATTTCAAAACCGCGGCCGAACACTGGGCGCTGTGCCTGGCTCCTTATCTTCATTAGCACCCAGCACACCTTCATTAGCAGCGTGGCACTCGTGTGGAGCCAAGGTATAGAAGAATTTGTGTGTGCAAATTTATTTATAAAGACAGAGATGTAAATATAAGAGTGAACGCTACTGCAGTGATTTCCATCCTCTCCTTTTCCTTTTGGTGAGTGGGTGCTGGTATTTGTTTTCAAGTAATATCACAAAGTAAATGAAAGGGAAAATGGAACTCAAATACGTTCATTTTGTAATTATGCAGACTAAAAATGAGAATTTCGGAGAAAAATGTCCCATGTTAGTAGTATTTATTCCCTCTTGATGATGACTTCATTGATAGTCCTCTGCAGTGCCGTTTCAGAATATGTTTGCAGCGAATGAAAGCCTGGAGCAGTGAACCTTTCAGTGTGAACCTGCTGTGATGGGGCTCTTTGCCTGCAGCAGGGCTTCACGCTCGCCACAACAGCAGTGTTTGAGGCCTTTCCCAGCACTGTGTGCTTCTTTGTGAGCATCCATCAGTGCACTGGGCATGCCGAGCAGAGCCCAGCTGGCTGCGGTGGGAGAAACACTCAATTCACATTTAGACATTTACTCTCTGGCCATAAATTTAGCTGTCTTAATTTTGAATTGGGTCCCAGTGTTTCTGCTAATGATTTTCTTGAAGCCCTTCTTAAATGACTTCAAGAAAACAATAATGGTATTTATGGTAAGAGTCCCCAGTTTGCAGAAATGTGTTAAAGATATCAGATGCTCTCAGTTTGAAGTCACAAAGGCTTTTGCTACACTTCTGCATGTTTTGGATAAGAGAATCTGCTCTGTAAAAGGCTTCTCAGCCAGACGTGCCTCTTGGTTTCCCTGTGCTATGACAAAGGACGTATTTGACTCTGCTGGTCTTTTTGCTTTTTAGTTTTAGCCAGCTCTGCAAATTATTCCTTCCTGCTGGCAATGTGTGTCTTGATAGCTTCCTGTGTGATGGGAGCAGCAGAGTCACAAGTGCATTTTTTTGCTGTTCAGTGATGCCTAGCAAAGTGCATCCCGTGAAATGCCACTTCATTTCACGTTTCTCAGTTCCGAATTCATTTTCACATACAAAATATGGCAAAATTCTTGTTGCACCAGACACCGGGGCACACTGGGAAGGATGCTAAGTCATTCACTTAATTAGGCAGCAATTGGTGCTGGATGGAGCACGCCGCAGTGCAAAGCAGCAGTGTGGAAGTCAGGGGGATGAGCTGCTCGGGTGCTCTGCGTTGGCACAATCTCAAATGTAGGTATCCAAGCTAGGCCCCACTGCCCTGCTCTGCCCTCCAGATGAGCAGCAGAATGACAAGTGCTGTATTTCTATACCTTTAAATGAAATAGCACAGTTTGGAGAGCACAAACTTTCCCTGATTTGCTATTTGTATTCTCTCTTATCTTTGATTACCTTTGGCTATGTGATCTAACCGTGTCCATTTATTAATGAGGTTCCTCATGGCCACTTCAGGCAACGCAGGAAAATTGACTGGAGGAGCTCATGGAGCAATTTAAGGCCAAATCCTGATTGCAGAACATAATGAAGTATGCTAACTGACGCATGGAGATCCTGTTGATTACTTTAAACAATCTTAAATGAAAGAAGACAAATGACCTGTGTGGGTGGAATTGATGCAATTGGCATACGAAAAGATACTTAGAAACCAAAAAAAAAACCAATTCTTTTCCTTTTTGGGAAGGTGGGATGATGATAATATTTTCCTTTCCCGTGTACAAATAGCATGTGATGACACAGCTGGGCTCTTCCATCAGTGGGCACATCGCTGCCAGGGCACAGTCCCCATATCAAGGAGACGTACCGAGCAAAAAACCCAACCAGCTTCTCTATTTCTGTATCAAGTAGCAATTCATAGCACCATAGAGCTGTTCAGGCTGGAAATGACCTCTCACATCCTCAAGCCCAGCCCTACCATTCCCACTGCCCACATTCCTCAGTGCCACATCCCCACAGCTCTGAACAGATCCAGGGATGCTGACCCCACCACCTCCCTGGGCAGCCTGTGCCGGTGCATCACTGCTCCTTCTGAGGAGAAATTGTTCCTAATGTCCAACCTGAACCCCTCTGTGGTGCAACTTGAGGCCATTCCCTCTTGTCCTAATCCTTCTCCAAACTTCTGCCACTGTCCCACTGCCTTTGGCACACCGTGCTGCCTTCACACAGCACGTTCTTCCCAGCGCATGGCAGCAGTGCAGCATGGCCAGGTTTGCTCAGTGACAGCCAGGTAAGACAGTTGCTCTTTTGCATGTGAAGCGCTGTGTCAACGGGCATATTCAGGCATATGAACTTTACAAATCGTTCCTTAGGAACAACAATTAAGGTGCCATTTGCATACTTGTGTTAAGGAAATGAGTAACATTTATCATCAGCGTGTTCTCAAGATGAAGTCAGGTGTTTTGGCACACCCTGCATCTTTGGCATTCATACTCTGCATCTCTCAGCCTGCAGCACGGCTTCGTCAATAGCTTTCATGGGCACAAAGTCCTTAAAATGAAAAACAAGAGTTTTATATACAGATGTAGATATTTTGGGAAGGCACATGCACTTACTTCCTTTTTTAATTATGTAAAATATTTCGTATTAGAGGTGAGCGTGCTGAATCTTCTTTAAAGAATGCTGCTTTAAGGGTCTCATGGCTGAAGATGGTTATATTTGCCATAAGGAAGCACAGAGGGCTTTTACCAGCGGTCGTAGCAAGTGATATTTCAGAACCTTTGTGTCACTCCTTTGGGTTTATTTGGAATGACCCCAGTACAGTTTTATGCTTCTCGCAATGCCTTGTTAAATACTGCAGTGGTCGGAAACAACAGCAAGGTAAGCACTTGTTCATGGCTAACAAAACATCCCTGGCAAAAAACAGCAAACACTGCCGCTCTCCAGGGATCTGGCTTGGAGTGCATGAAAAACTCTTTATTTCTGAGAGTTACTTCTAAAATTCTTGACCTTCAGGAAATGGTTCAATTTTCCCATAAATAAGCAATGACTTTCACATGTCAGTGGGGGAGAGTGAAGAGATTGTTCTCTTTCTGTGAATATTTCTCAGCTGCAGAGCGGCGGAGGCAGAAGCCCGGCGTGGGGTCCTGCAGCAATAAATGGGGCCAACCCTCCTCCTCCTACAGCCAGCTCCCATCACCCCCTACATCCCCATGTGCAGGCACATGCGTTGTACATCCAGAAGACACAAACTTGTCCTTGAGGCCAGGCTCCACTTGGATCCATGAGCAATTTCAGATTTCCTTTCGTTTCAATAGCACTCGCTCAAGCCAAAATTTAAGAAAGAAAAAAAAGTTATCAAAGAGATAAAAGCCTGTGATGTACGGATATTCTGCCCTTTCTTCATTTTCGTGTTCACGGGGTTCACTTTTGTAATTGGGTGGGGCTGGAGAGGGAAGATGTGGCATTGATTTCTTGCGAAAGCCTGAAGTCGCTGCAGGTTAGCATTCCGTAATTATTTTTGTCATGAAGATGAATGCCATCCTAAAAGAGTTGGAAGCTAACGGCACCGTGGCTTTGATATATGAATATTACAGCTTTGAATGTTGGAATGGCATTATCGATGCTTTATGGCTTTATGACTCTGAGACATTTCTTAGTCTCTGATTCAGAAATACATTTCCTACGAATTTTATAGCGACTTTTGGTCTTTGCCTTTTTTTTTTTTTTTGGCTTGCCTTTGATTTCAAACTGCTCCTTGAAGTGAATTTAAAAGAGCATAGGATTTTAGAGCTATGAATTCCCAAACTTAGGCACTGAGGAGACCCTTCCCCCCTCCCCAGGCTCGTGCCCTGTGATGCCATGGAGCGTATTTCTGCACTCCAGCTCCTGCTGGGAAATCACTGCCCTCGGAGATAGCTGCTGCAATGGGAAGCAGCTCATGTGCATTATATTTTCTGAAGTGTGCAGTCTCCTAGCTATACAAAGATCATGCAAATGTGGTATTTAAAAGAATATACTTTCAGAATTGTAGTTTTTAAATGAAAATGGCATCGTTTTGTTTAGAACGCGTTTCTCCCCTCACCCCCAGCCTGCCAAAGTGCTTCAGCTCGGCGCGTTACAATAAGCACGATTTCAAATACGTCTGAGGAAGCAGCAAAATGGAAGACTGCCCTCTAACGTCAACAGAGCCACCAGAGGGGCTGAAATGCAGCAAAGGGCTGTGGAGGAGGATTGAAATCAGGGAGGGAAGATTTAGGTTGGATGTCAGGGGAAAATTCTTTACAGGGAGAGTGGTGAGGTGCTGGAACAGCTGCCCAGAGAGGCTGTGATGCCCCATCCATCCCCGGAGGTGTTCAAGGCCAGGTTGGATGGGGCCCTTGGGCAGCCTGGGCTGCTATGAAATGTGGAGGTTGGTGGCCCTGCCTGTGGTGGGGGGTTGGAGCTTCACGATCCTTGAGATCCCTTCAAACCCTGGACATTCTGTGATTCTGTGATTCTGTGAAATGGGTCTCAACTTCTGCAGGTGGGCAGCATTTTGGGGTGGAAACCAACGTGTTGTAGCAGCAGTGTCTGCTACACTGAAGGGCATGCAGCAAGAACTGCACTGCTCTGTGCCTGCTCTGTGGTAAATACAGCTTAAAAAAAGGCCCCTGGGACTTTCTGGGGTTGAGGAAAGGTCTGTGATTATGCAAACATCTCAGCAACATTGTAGAATCACAGAATTGCACAGGTTGGAAACGATTTTAAAGATCATCCAATCCAACCACAACCTAACCATGCTACCCTAACAACCCTCCACTAAATCACATCCCTGAGCACCACATGCAAATGGTTT